TTCTCCGTTAGCTCCTGACAGCGCCTGCCCTCACTTGTCAGACCCCCACCCCTCGACGGGCAAGTTGAACTAAGACGCTCGCATCAATACCCGCGGTGGGAGTAACTGCGCAGGCTGGCGGAGCGGCCACCCTCTGGGCTGGGAGGGCTCCGGAGCTTGTGACTGGAGGATCTCTGGGCTTCTGGCCACCAAAGCAGATGGCGGTTTCTGGAAAGCTCTTTTAGGGCAAGTGTCCGGGAACTCCGTGGGGATAGGACATCGGGGTCAAGTACCCTTGACCAGGCCGCTAAGTGTCGCGTGAACCAGGCCGCTAAGTGTCGTCGGGCAGCAGAGAGCGTCCACTCCTCTGTGGGCGAGTGGCTGGGCAGCAACCGCTTGGCTCCGGGGCGCCCTGGGCGTCTGAGCGGCCAGGCGGAGCCGCCCGCTGCGGGAAGCCGGCCCACGGGGCCTGGCTCCCAGCTCGGCTGCTGGGCCCGCACCGCGCCGCCTGGGTTGATGACAGATACTTGGACAACGTGGGTCACTGCCTTTAAGAAGTGTCTGTGGCCATGGCTCTTCTCTTGACCTGTTGGGGTTGTAATTTTCAGCTCTGAAATCCTGGGGTAGCACAGATGCTTTGTTCTCGGAGGACAAGTGCAGGAATGGCCCGGGGGACTCCGGCTCTTGCTCCAGAGGTGACACCTGCAGGTTGCTCAGGCCCAGGCGCCCGAGCGAGGGGTGTCCACCTTCACCCCTCCCTGCTGCTGTCCTTGCCAGCCTGCGGAGGGTGACGCACGTGTCCCCGGGAAGCCACTGCCCAGCGTGTGACTGGCACCCAGGGGGACAGCTGGGTGCCAACAGCCTGGACAGTGGCTGCTGCCGAGAGCAGAGCGCCGCTCGCGACAGCCCCTGAGAGGTGTGGGGACACACGGCCCCGGAGATGCCTGCTCAGAGCCTCACGATGGTGGCCCTTCAGAGGGAATGAAGGGACCTTCCAGTCCTGAGTGGGGGACAGGCCGCTGGCCCGCAGCCCCGCCCGCCCCGGGGGCTGTTTATTAGAGAGGCTGCAGCTTCGCCCCGGTCTGGAAGAGGCGTTTGTGCCTGTGGGGCGCTCCATCCAGAGCACCCCGTGCGCCCCCCTTGCTCGTAAATACGTCAGGGCCCGGAGCAGCCCCCCAGCCCCCCAGCCCCCGCGTGAGCACTTCTGTGGGCGCTTTGGAGAACCCCTGTGCGGCTGTTCGGAGCCGCAGAGGTTCTGTTCTTCGACGGCAAGAACGGCTGCCCGGGGGCCGTGACGGACACCAGGGACCGGAGACCAGGCCGGCCCTGTGGCCCCGTCCCCCCGCTGTGGGCCGTGCCGGCGGGAGGCTGAAGTGGGCAGAGTGCGTGGCTGCTGTGTGCTGGCCCAGGCGTGCAGGCGGAGAGGTCGGCTCGGGACCCCGGAGGGCCGGCGGGGCGCTCGGCTGTCTCTGGTGGGTTCCCCGGGCGCCGCCGGCCGGGCCCTCTCCTCTGGGCCATTGCGGTGCCTGTGGCCCCACCTCGGTGTGCGGCCTGCTTGTCCCAAGTCGTCCTGCGACTCCGAAGCTCTCTGCCCTGACCCCAACCTGGGCTTTGCCCCGTGGCCCGCGACCATCGCCACTGCTGTGCGACGAGCAGCGTAGACTGGTGGCGCCGGCGGGAGCTCTCGCTGGTTCGTTTCCCCAACGTCTCTCGCTCTCACACCCCCACTTGGTGAATTCCTGCCAGTGTCCCCAGCTCCTAGGCCTTGACCCTGCCTGTCTCCAGCCTCAGCGCCTCAGATCCAGCCGCCGCCGTCCACCCACACCTGCCACTCCCCCGAGTGCCTGACCTGAACCCCCGTGGGCTGCCACAGCTCTGAGGAACCCCCGGTGCCTCCCTGTTCTCAAGACCCACAGGCTCTGGTCCCTGCACACCCCGCCACTCACCCCTCCCGCACCCCATGTGCCCGGCAGCTGCCCCGTCCAGCATCTGCAGGGATTTTTTTCTCATCAACATTGCAGTGAAACGACCCTGGACCTGGGGTATGTGAACAGCCACGTGTGTCCCCGAGAGGCCACGGGAAGGGAGACTCAGGGCGTCGGCCCTCTGACAGCGAGGCGGGGCGTCAGCCCCCTGGGCCTCTTGAACTGAAGGCAAACTCCCAGCTCCCAGATTAAGAGGCAGCGAGTGACGGCGCCCCTGCTCCCCAGGACGCTCTCCAGCATTGCCCTCCCCGGGAGCCCCTATTTCTCCCTCCTCCCATCATGGGTCAGCTCTGTGTGAGGCCCGGCTCCCGCCTCCTCTCGTCTGCGAGACTCCTGTGTGCCGGAGTTCTGGGCTGTTGCTGCCCTGCGCTGGCAACCGGCCGGCAATGAGGCAGCATCCTCCCCTGGCCACGCCTGGGCGTGCGACGTCCCCTCCAGGCTGTGGGGACAGCAGCGCCCGGCCTCGGGGACACTGTGGCTGCCCATGCACGGCCGGGCCTCGGTTCACGTCTCTAGTCAACGCCCTTTCACTGTAACGTTGATGAGAAAAAAAGCCCTCGCCGATGCTGGACGCAGTGACCGTGGCCCGGGGACCTGCTGTTGTGCCACATCGTGTCCTGGGATGCGCTGACACTCTGCGGGGACTCAGGGGTGCGCTTCCTTGGGTGTCCCCCTTCCGGGGGTGCTGGGTCGCCCTGCACACCAGTGTCCAGTGTTGCTGACCTGATGCTTTGCCAGGTAGTTGTAGCAACGTGCACTTTTGCAACAGGCCTGAGTTCCGGGGTTCACTACCCCCGATGTCTCCTGTGTCCCAGAGAGTCACTGGGCTATGTATACCGGGGGCTGGTGAGTGGCCACATCCGGGTCCTGCGCCCACAGAGAGGGAGAAAGGCCTCCTTCCTCCTGTCCCATCCTAGATGCCTGCACCCCAGAAGCCTGTGTGCCACTGAAGGCTTATTTCCGTAACGCTTGGGGGGGCCAGCGGAAGCCCCTTCCCTTTGGCCAGGCCCAGGATGCCTGGAGTTCATCTGTCTCTGGCCTACGGTGCCCCGACACCCAAGTCCAGCCAACCGTGGTCAGTGGGTTCCCCTGGTTCCTGGCTGTCTCTGACATTTTGAATCAGAAAGGAACCCAGCCATTCTCAGAAAGAGGAACCCCAAGTAGGATGTGGCTTTCTAATCAGGGGAAGTGGATCCCAGCCGTGGTGACCAGCAGCAGAGGGCTGGGTGGGCGTGGAGCAGAGCAACTTCTGCATCCAGCCCAGGATGCCCGGGGAGGGGCGGCCAGGCCTGAGCTCAGCCGGGGAACCCCCTGGGGCAAGAACTGCCCCCTTAAGTCCAGCATGTCCTTCCATCAGCGTTCAAGGCATGTAAATCTGGAAGATGTGATCTTAGGGTTGGGAAGTATTTTTCTCAAGAATGAAAACAAAACAGCAAAGACAACAGGGAGCCGTCTGATGACACTGGAACACGACTGTGAATCAAAAGGACTCCATCGAGTGGAAAGGCGACAGCCCCCGAGGTGTGACGAGGACCAGGATGTTTGCGACTCACATGGCCCACCAAGGCTGTGAGCCTGTAGTAAACAGAGAAACCCCAGCAACCGCTGCTAAAAACCCCAGTGGCAGAGGCGCGGGACCTAGCAGCGACTGCAGAGGAGACACTTCTATGGGGGATCAGGGAAAGGCAAATACATCTGTCCTGCAGAGTGGCAGCGATGAGCGGCCAGCGCTGGCCACGGGAGACATCAGTGGACAGCAGCGGAGCCACCGGGAAAACGCGCCACCTAGTAGGTGAAGGTGCAGGTACACCTGCTCAGGTGTGTGCACACCTGCCCGCCCAGGTGGCAGCCACCCGCCTTAACTCGTGAGCCTTTGAGGTGTGCAGCGTGTGGTTGAGGAACGGCATCACTCTTAACGTTTTATTCAACTTGCATTCATCGAAATTCAAGAACCGATTCCTTTCTTGAGAGGCCTCACTGTCGGGAACGCTCCTGCCTCATGGCACCTGTCAGTTGTCCAAGTCTACAAATTGATGAAAACCTACCGCTGTGGCCTATAGGAAAGCGTGAATGTAAAAGCTAAAGTACCAGCTTTCAAAGACGTAATACCAAGACAATATGAAACAGCTCATTCGTTACTTGTCTCCAGTGATAACATGGAAGCGACTGTATTTTGGATATAGAGCGTCAAATAATGTAATGCGGCTACCAGTATCTCTGGCTTTCTGTGTGTGGTTTATATTCTGTTTCTCTTGGAGACTCACAGGTCCTCAAGGAGAGGGAACAAGTCCATTGTAGCGCTGGTAGAGGAACCAGAAAGAAACCTTGACGATCATCAACAGCGGAGGGCTGAAAAGATGGTGGTTTATTTGCACAGTGAAATATGCCGAAGGCAAAGGCCAGTCACAGCAGCTTCGAGTCCCACAAATTTGCGAACCATGCAAAATGTGGGGCCTGTTGGTGATACCTGTTAGCATAACAACACGCCGGAAATGATCACAACAGGAGTCCAGGTGGTGGCGCAGGGGGAGCAGGTGGCCGCTGCGATAGGAGACTGGTTGTGTCTGTAACCTGCTACTTGCTGAGGGTGGGCAAGGCTGGGGCATTGCCTCCGGCGATCTCAAGAACTTCTTTGATGGTCAAAGTCATTTTAAGACATTTGGTTCCTGCTAAGAACGTTTCTAAGAACTGAGCCTTTGTTTTCTCGAGTGTGGGCCTGCCTGACCCGCTGACCGGCCACTTCCCACTTTTACCAGCCCTCTGGCCACGGCGGGGTCACCCACGGTGTGTGGTCTAGAAGAAAAATGACTAGGCGGGGGTCTGCTGGACTTAGGGCGCTGCAGAGAAAGATGCAGACGGAGCACCCTGAGGGCTCAAGGCTGGGGGCGCTTGGGGCGGCCGCAGGGGGCCATGCCGGGCGCTGTCCCCAGCCTCCTGCTGTCTGAGGTCCTGACGTGTTTTCCAAATGGGCTCTCCAAGGACCCCCTAAGGACCCCCTTGACGGTGGGGCTCATTTTGCCTTCGCTTCCGTTCCAGGACAGCTGGCGTCTGGGAAGTGAGGAGCAGGATGCCCCCCGGGGTTGACTGCCCCATGGAATTCTGGACCAAGGAGGAGAGCCAGAGCGTGTCCGTTGACTTCCTGCTGCCCACAGGGGTCTACCTGAACTTCCCGGTGTCCCGAAATGCCAACCTCAGCACCATCAAGAAGGTACACCCCCGCCTTCAGACTCGCCCTGGGCTCGGAGCTGACGTCACACGCGTGGCTTCTCGGACTTGGATTTCATTTCACTTGATGTCATGTGATTTGTATTTATTTCTATGAGTTTTTTTTTTTTTTGAGGTGGTGTTGGTTTGTATCATTATTTTGGGGGTCCAGATTCACACCCCTTCAGATGCATGTAATCACACCCCGCCAGAACACCAGCAATCCTCACCACAGCGCGAGAGTCTCCCCAACGTCGCCCCCGCCCCCCGCCCAGCCCCTTCCGGATTTGTCTTGGTTTAGTTTATTCACTACCTTTGTTCTTTATTGTCCACACCTGAGTGAAACCATCCAGAGCGTGTCCTTCCCCTTCTGACTTACTTTACTTCAGCATCGTCCTCCCCAGTCCCATCCATGTTGTCAGAAGTGGCCAGATTTTAGCTTTCCTTTTTTATAGCTGAGTAGTATTCCAGTGCATACACATACCACATCATTTTGGGGGGAAATGCATTTTAAAAGATAGACATAATTGTTGCTCTAAGTGCATTTCCCTCCCGTCCTGGGGTGCCACTCCCCAGTGGCCCTAACTTTCTCTAGCCTGGAAACACACTCACCCTTGGTGCAGAAAAGGGCGGCCCAGCTTTCTGTCTTCAGAGCTGTCATCATAGTAAACATCTCTGGAGGTAGTTTTTGGACGTGTAGAGTAACTCTCAGGGCGGCTTGCCGAATACGGGATTGGATCCCGGGGGGTACTTGGTGGGAAACGTCTCATGACTTTCCAAACGGGTCACGCCAGAGGAACTGGTGTCACCTCTGAATTTTAAAAGCTGTACTTTGGAGTGGTGGGGTGGGGTGCCGGGCAGATAGGAGAGATGGGGGAGACTGTCCCTGGGATGCTTTCCCAGTGTTCCCTCCCTGAGAGATTTCTTTCAAAATTACTATTATTTTTTAATTTCAAAAGTAATAGGGACCCATTGAAATGTAGGAAAGTAAGAAAAGAAGGGAAAAATGACGTAGGCACCAGCCCTAGGAGACACCCACACTTAGTACCGCTCGTTTCTGGATTCTCCCCCACCCCCCAGACAGCCTTGTGTTTTCGGTGATAATTCAGATTATTTTGTTGATTTTTGAGGTGTAGCATTCATGCGGTTGGCTTGCTGTACTTACCCCCTTCAAGGCTGCTGGGCTCCCCTGCGCCAGAGCACAGGGGCTCTGACCGCCAGTCCGTGTGTCATGTCACACTCGCTGGATTTCAGATTCTTCGTATTTTCGCTTACACCAGGGGCCAGATAGCAGACATTCTAGGCCTCGCAGCCCAAGACGCCGCGTGAAGGCCCCGCTGGAGAAATGTTAGCCTGGCACTTGTTGGTTTGGATCGGTATTTCTGCGGGTTCAGGAAACTCCCGGTGATGTGGGCTGCACTGCAGCTCAGGGTTCTCCCGCAGCAGGTGCATTCTGGAAACCCCATGCCCCTAGCTCTGGGCACCCCTTTTTTATAGCTGAGTCGTATTCCAGTGCGTACATACACCACATCATTTTGGGGGAAATGATCCTTCTTCCGTGCTGCCTTTCTGTGTTGGGGTGCCACCACCTGCCCCCGAGCAGCAGAGCTGGGCCGCTCCTTCTCCCTGTCTTCTCCCTGTGAACACCTTTGCACTGACGCGCTGATGTTCGGGGGCTTCGCTTGGTGGTGCCCGGGACACCACCCGGGGCTCGCTGACAGCCTGGGCTGAGCAGCCCAGCTTCCGAGGACCCGCTCGGTGTGTTGACAGCTTCTGGATTAGTTGACAGTGTGTAAAGGGCGGAGTGATGACCCTGAGGGCCCACACAGACCGTGCCCCCCGGGTCCAGAAGGCAGGCAGCCCCGGGACCGGCCTCGGCCCTCTGGCTGGACGAGCTGTGGACTGAGGCCAGCCCGCCGCGCCAACCCGCCCGCTGTGCCGCCAGGTGCTGTGGCATCGCGCCCAGTATGAGCCGCTGTTTCACATGCTCAGCGACCCCGAGGCCTACGTGTTCACCTGCGTCAACCAGACAGCAGAGCAGCAGGAGCTCGAGGACGAGCAGCGGCGTCTGTGTGACGTCCAGCCCTTCCTGCCCGTCCTGCGGCTGGTGGCCCGCGAGGGCGACCGGGCGAGGAAAGTCATCAACTCCCAGATCAGCCTCCTCATCGGCAAAGGTAGGCCCCGGCCCTGCGCCGCCCGGCCGCCCGCACGCCCGGCCCCCACCCACCGTCCGCCCTGCCCCTCAGGCCTGCACGAGTTCGACTCCCTGCGTGACCCCGAGGTGAACGACTTCCGGGTCAAGATGCGCCAGTTCTGTGAGGAGGCGGCCGTCCGGCGGCAGCAGCTGGGCTGGGAGGCCTGGCTGCAGTACAGCTTCCCGCTGCAGCTGGAGCCCTCGGCCCGGAGCACCCCCCGGCTGCCCAGCCGGGCCCTCCTGGTCAACGTCAAGTTCGAGGGCAGCGAGGTAAGCCGGGGGCCCCTGCCCAGACTGTCCCTGCGGGGCTGTCGGCTTCCCGGACGCCCTCCTGCCCAGGCCGGGGGCGTTGGCGGGGTGCCGGGCAGCTCGGTGAGGCCGTCTGAGCCCAGGTCCTTGGTCCTTGGTCCACTCCTTTCCTGGGTGATGGCCGCGTGCCCCCGGGGAGCTCACGTCCAGGGGTGGGGCGAGCTTGCTGCGGGCAGAGGCACCGGAGTCCGGCTTCCCCAAGGGCCGAGGGCTGACCCTCCCCCCTCCCCTAGGAGAGCTTCACCTTCCAGGTGTCCACCAGAGACGCACCCCTGGCGCTGATGGCCTCCGCCCTGCGCAAGAAGGCCACGGTCTTCCGGCAGCCGCTGGTGGAGCAGCCCGAGGACTATACCCTGCAGGTGAACGGCAGGCACGAGTACCTGTACGGCAGCTACCCGCTCTGCCAGTTCCAGGTGAGGCTGAGCTGCTGGGTGGGGCCGCGGGGCCCTTCTCCCGGCGCCGGGCCGGGCCTTGGGGGCCACAGCGACGGCCTCCTCTGGGCCAGCTGCCCCTCCCTGTGCGCCCAGGGGGCTCCATTTGCCGGCAGCCAGGGATGGGCAGGGAGCCGGCAGGAGCGGCCCTCAGGGCCGGGGACAGGCAGTGGTCAGCGTGGGCGTGACCCCTGCAGCCACCTGTGTGGGCAGGGTGGGGGCCACCCACCCACAGCTCACTGCCCCCCCCAGTATATCTGCAGCTGCCTGCACAGCGGGCTGACCCCCCACCTCACCATGGTGCACTCCTCCTCCATCCTGGCCATGCGGGACGAGCAGAGCAACCCCGCCCCCCAAGTCCAAAAGCCGCGCACCAAACCACCCCCCATTCCCATGAAGAAGGTGAGCGGGCACCGCGCGACCCCCTCCCGCCTCCCTCCCACACGTGTCCAGCCATGAGTCTACTGGGCAAGGCCAGGGCTGGCTGGGGGCCGGGGGGCCGGGGGCCCTGGTCTCATGCCCTTGGTTGGTATTGACAGTTTGAGCTTGGGTGGCTACCTGGTGGGGTGGGGGGGCTTCCCAAGCCCCCCACGGAGCACAGGGGCGCTGGGCCCCGGGGCGCTGACCAGCGGAGCTGTGGGCAGGCACGAACCCACGGCACCCCAGTGGCCACAGGCCTTGCTGGTGTCCAGAGAGCCTTGTGTTCCCGCTGCTAATGGCCCTGCCCCTCCACCCACTGTCCAGCCCTCCTCTACCTCCCTGTGGGCCCTGGAGCAACCCTTCTGCATCGAGCTTATCCAGGGCAGCAAAGTGAATGCCGACGAGCGGATGAAGGTAGGGGCTGGGGGCTGGGATCTGGGACGGGATCCGGCGTGTTTTCTGCACAAACAAGGTGGCTGTGGCCTAGAGGGGCGGCAGAGGAAGAAGGGGGGGTCACACTATGAAAGCCACCTGACCACATTACCCAGCATCCCTGCCTGGGGTGGCTACGAGCCGCTTCAAAACAGGAAGGAGGGGGACTGGAGCAGCCGATTCGGAGAAGAGCCCAGCGAGTTCTGGGTATTTGACGCTGGTGAAGGCTGTGGGGCTGGGCTCAGCCCGGGGACATGAAAACCACCGCAGCCTGGGGACAGGGCTGCTTCAGCTGGGCTGGGGCCGGGGGCACTCAGGGGCGCGTCCAGGGGGGCAGGGAGAGCCGGAGGGGGAGGGGCGGCCGCCCCCAGCTGCAGCCCCTGCAGCCCGTGGGGTGCAGGCTTTACTGCCCGGGTGGCAGGTGCCCAGTGGCCCAGAGGGTGGTCTCTTTGGGGAACCCTTTCCACTGGGGCCTCTGTGTCAGCAGGACACGCCTGGCGGGGTGCCTGTGGGATGGTCGAGGAGGGGCTGGGTGGGCAGTGAGGGCTGTCATGGGGGGTGCTCAGGCGTCACATTGAAGCCTCTGGTGATCCTGAGCCGCGGGGGGCCCTGGTGTCGGAGCTGGAAGGGCCCTTGAGCTACCGAAGTCCGGAGGGGAGTCCGAAGCCGGGTCAGGGGAGGGTCGCACAGCCCTTACTCCTGCCCAATCAGCGGGCGCCCGTGAGGCACCGCCGGCTCCAACGTGGGAAATGGGGTCCGGGAAAGGCAAAGACACGGTGCGTCGGCGCTGGGAGCTTTGCCGGGCTGGAGGCCTGGAGGGCGGAGGGCGGAGGGCCCGGCCTCTGCCGCCTGCCAGCGCCCCGCACCCTCCCCCTCCAGCTGGTGGTGCAGGCCGGCCTCTTCCACGGCAACGAGACGCTGTGCAAGACGGTGTCCAGCTCGGAGGTGAGCGTGTGCTCGGAGCCCGTGTGGAAGCAGAGGCTGGAGTTCGACATCAGCGTCCGTGACCTGCCGCGCATGGCCCGGCTCTGCTTTGCGCTCTACGCCGTGATCGAGAAGGCCAAGAAGGCTCGCTCCACCAAGAAGAAGTCCAAGAAGGCGGTGGGTGTGGCCAGCGGGGGGCTGGGTCAGCCAGGCCAGTCCTGGACGCCCACCTCGGGCCTGCTCTGGCTTCCAGGCCCCACCCGGCGGGCTGTGAACGGAGCCAAAGGCTCTCTGGGCCTGGCCTTGGGCCTGGTGGGCGACCGCTGCCCAGGCGGTAAGGACAGTGCCCTGCTCACGGGCCGGGGGAAGCGGCCCTAGGCGCTGGTGGTGGACAGGAGCCCCCACGCCCTGTGTCCCTGAGCCTCAAGCCGTGGCCGGCCTGCAGGGCCACGCGGTCTGGGCGCCAGGCACA